CATCATCGACGAGACATCCAGTTTGAGGTTGGCGAGCACGCCTTTTTCAGAGTTCGTCCGGTTCGCGGAATAGTGCGATTCGGCAAGAGAGGGAAGCTGCACCCTCATTTTATAGGTCCGTTCGAGGTTCTCGAGCGAGTTGGCGAGGTCGCGTATCGTCTAGCCCTACCTCCCGAGTTATCAGGCATTCACAATGTATTTCACGCATCTATGTTGCGTAAGTACGTGTGCGACCCCGATCATGTTATTCCTCACACAGATATCCAGATTCAGTCAGACTTGTCGTACGAGGAGCGACCGGTAGCTGTACTAGACCGTCAGGTCCGTCGGCTCCGGAAGCGAGACATCCCCCTCGTGCGCATTCAGTGGGATTCTGATGTACATATTCTTTATCTTATGTACATAGTTCATGTATCATAGTCAGGTATTCAGCTATGTTTTGAATTTCCGCGGACGGAAATTTTGTAAGGAGGGAGGATTGTAATATCCCAAGATATTATCAGTATAAGTTACGTTTAATTCCGATATAGTAGCGTTAGCGTTTATTATTTTCGGAATTAATTAAGTTCAGTCGGATTACCGAAATCTATNNNNTTTCGACGGACCGTTTACGTTCGAAATAATTTTGGTAATTAAGCATTATGTTTAATTAAATAATTAAACATTAGATAAGTGATTAATTAATATTAATCACCCTATTAAGATAATGAAGCCGTGCTTGAGGGAAATTATTTCCAACTAATTGCCAAAAAGGCCGTGAGCTAGAGGTAGATAATTGTTCCTATAGTATTCAAGTTCTTAATTCTTAAGGAAGCATTTTCACTCCATCCATTAGCTAGTACGCGTGTCAGCCTAAGGGGGGGAGTAGTCATCATTAATCATGCCAATAACTAGCAAGTGTCAAGCATAAAATTGGCCACATCCTCCCCTCATCATCACCCCTCAAGTTCGGCCATCTATAAGTAGGGGTGAGTTGTGAAATTTTCATCCTTTTCCTCATATATATTCGCAGCCTATATTCTTATTCAAGCCTTAAGTTCAGCAGCAACAAGTTCAATCTAATTCCCTCAACAGCAAGTAACTCCATTATTCTCTCAACTCCTTATACTATCGCACGACATATATAGAAGAATCGCACGACAAAAATTGAGCATACGCGCGACACACGCAAGGACAAGGAATCATGCCCTATTTTTCCATTTCGGTCGGACGATTGACAAGGTAACGTCCTCCTCATCTTGTAATCTGGTTGGTAAGGTCATGTTAAGGTTAAGTGTTCGAATCATATTCGAGAAATTCTAGAAAAGCCGTGCTTAAGTCCGATTATGCTTAAAGTAAGACCATGATCAAATAACTTTCGATTTTCCCGGCAACTCTCAAACTATTAATGTTTAATTGTTCAGTTTAGCTTATTTCATGTCCAGTAAGTCCAGTTTAGTCGAAGCAAAGTGAGGTTTTGTCGATGAAATGGCCCAAGCCGTCGCTAGCGCTTATCGCGCGTGGCCACGGGCAGCCGCGGTTCATATCTTGTTGCCTTCAGTAATAACCATGTTCGTCCGCATGTTTATGTCTTAAATTGCCTCAATATAATGTTCATGTCAAGTTGTTCTGGAGTTGCCGAGGAAAAAGGTGTTTTGGCCGGGAGATGGTGTATAGCCGTCGGCGGCG